CAGAGGCTGTAACACCAGTCCTCTCTTCCTCATGCCCAACACACAAGCAGAGTCTGGGGTGTTGGCAAAGATTCGCCCTGTACAGACAGTCAAAAGGGAAGGGAAGGGTTCTGGTTACTGACAAATGATTGATTAAGTAAAGGGAAAATGTTTTGTCAGCAGTTCACTGTTGGAAACAAATAATAATAATAAAAATAATATTTTCTGAGACTGGCTGAGTGAACATTACTACATAGCTACTCACCAAATAAATACATACGTGTACATGAAATACTGATTTGAGTTGAAATTATTTTAGAATTGTCCACTGTCAATTAAAAGTCAATAAATGTTTTTGAAAGAAGACTCAAGATTCTTTGTTGAATAGAAACTTCAAAAGAACAACATCTATTTGAAATAGAAATACTTTGTAACGTTATACCTGTCTTTACCTTCACTTTTGTTTAATTTAATGTTTCCATGCATGATTTGTTTTTAGCTTATTGACCCTAAACTTTTATATATCATCTTACAGCTTCCACTAGAAAATTTTGTCCATTCAAATGTACAAAAAGATCAGCCATAACAACAAGATGTACACGGCAACAAAATTAAAGTATTGACATTTTGAGCAGACTGATATACAGTGTTGCTATGGCATGGACGACTAAAATATAAAGAAATAATAGGCCGCATTGTTTCTCACCATGTCTATAACACTCCTTCAGCTTCTCAGTGAGCCAGAGAACAGCCTTAGCACCCATCTTGGTAGCAAAGTTTCTGTCAAAAGGAGTTGGGGTGCCACCCTAGAAAAATAACATTTGTCAGACAAAATACAACTCCTGATAAATGTGTTCTTGATTTTTATTACATCTAACCTGCTGCATATGGCCAAGGACATTCTTACGGCAGTCAAAAACACCCTTTCCTTCCTCTGAATACAGGTTGAAGATGAAATCAGTGGTGTAGTTGGAATTGCAGTTTTCATTTCTGCAAGACATGTTAGTTGAAAGGTGTTTGACTATTCATATTCCACTATGATTCACTGAGGCATGCTGTTGATAGAAGTTATTCCTTTAAGCAGTCTCACCTCAAAAGTAAAAAACTAAACTGGTGCTCACATTCACAAACACTGAATGACAAACCTAAGAATTAGGCCTCTCTTAACAGTGGTCTTCATCTTCTCAACAAGATGTTCCACATTTCTCTGCAAACATAAGTTATTGGAGAAATTCAAATCGAATGGTTTGGTTTAATCCACTTTGAGTGATATCAGTTATTCTTATGACATTTGAGTTGTTTGTTACCTCTAAGTCACGGATGCCAAACCTCTCTTCATATATATAAGCAGCATCAGCTCCTGCAGAGAGACCAGCCATGGTGGCCAGGTAGCCGCAGTATCCTCCCATAGTCTCGATGATGAACACACGCCGCTTAGTTCCTGCTGCTGACTGCTTGATCCTGTCACAGGTCTATAGAAGCCTCATGTGTGAAAATGCCCAATTAGAGAACAACCAAATACTATGAACGCACCAGTATTACAATTCTGGTCGATACTTATCAGCCAATAATTTGTGTTAAGGTGAATAACCAATAAATAGCCATTTTGTTGAAACAAATTAAAACTAAAACAGGCAAGACATTGCAAGTGAACAGGGAAAAAAATAAAAAAATAGACATCATCATATTTTTCCCAGTTGATTAATCACTGTACATTAAGTAACTGTTTTGTATTACAAGATTTCTCAAATGAGGCATTATCTGATTAAATAAGCAATAATTTGCATAAATGTCCAGAACAGAAATGCGAGAACTGAAGCAGGTTCAAAAGTTTTTTTTTTTGTTTGTTTTTTTTACAAAAAATAAAAATAAAAAATAGGATCCATTATCCAATATCATTCCATTAATCAGAATCCAATAAAAAAAAGAATCCAATAAAAAAATTCTCCCATGTTTCCTCTGTAAAAACCTTCAGAATATACAGTGGGTACGGAAAGTATTCAGACCCCCT